TACACTTCAGACTTATTGGCCTTAAGTGTAGCAAAACGTTTGTTGCACTTCTGACCTTTTGGCCTTGAGTGTATCTGAAGTGCAATATTTCACTTCAGACTTATTGGCCTTAAGTGTAGCAAAACGTTTGTTGCACTTCAGACCTTTTGGTATAAGTGCATCTGAAGTGCAATTTTTCACTTCAAGACTTATTAGCCTAAGTGTAGCAAAACGTTTGTTGCACTTCTGACCTTTTGGCCTTAAGTGTATCTGAAGTGCAATATTTCACTTCAGACTTATTGGCCTTAAGTGCATGAAACCATTGGTTGCACTTCAGATCTATTTGGCCTTAAGTGCATCTAAAGTGCAAATTTTCACTTCAGACTTATTGACCTTAAGTGAATGAAAACGTTTGTTGCACTTCAGACTGTTTGGCCTTAAGTGCATGAAACCATTGGTTACACTTCAGACATATTTGGCCTTAAGTGCATCTGAAGTGCAAATTTTTACTTCAGGCTTTTTGGCCTTAAGTGCATCTGAAGTGCAAATTTTCACTTCAGACTTAAGTGCATTTGAAGTGTAATTTTTCACCTCAGACTTATTAGCTTAAGTGCATGAAACTATTGGTTGCACTTCAGACTTCTTTGGCCTTAAGTGCATTTGAAGTGTAATTTTTTCACTTTAGACTATTTTTTTTCAACTTCAGGCCCGATAAGTCTGAAGTTGATCGTAAAGTAGGTACGCTTGCAAACGTTTTTGCAAAGTGGGTATAGATTCAATTGTGACCCCAAAATCGGGTATAGATGCAAAAGCCCCCAAATACTTGAAGCAGATCACTTATATGATTCAATTTCGGATACTTCTCTTGTATTTTAAAAATCAAATACTTATATTCATATACTATATATGGAAATGCAACACTTATACCTCCCATATGAGGTATATCCATAATTTTAAAATATAATTGTCAAAGGGATAAATTGAAATTATAAATAAAAAGTTTTATGTATTTATTTTTTATGATTTTTTTTTTTTTAAAAGATAAACATTTTTGTTGACAATCTTTATTCTTTTATTCTCTCTTTTAATCAAAGACGTGAATAAAATTTTTTAACAAAAATATTTATCTTCTTTTTAAAATTTTATAAATAATGAAAATCTTTTTATTTATAATTTTAGTTTATCTTTTAATTACTTAGTTATGGATATATCTCATAAGATATGTAGTAAAAGTTCTATAATATGGTAAGCGCAAGTGTTTGATTTTAAAATGCATAGAATATATCCTAAACTTAATCCTAAAAAATAACTTGTCTTTATTCTTTCATACCATATTTTCCCTCTTTCTCCGGCAATCACTGACGGACTAATAGTCTGTTTGGCCAATCTTCTAAATTAGCTTATTTTAAAATGTATTTTTCTCAAAAATACTTTCCAAAAAAGTACTTTTGTTGAAAAATAATTTTTGTTTGACTAATTAATTTGAAAAATACTTTTGAACAATAATTAGTGTTTGACCAAATTTTTAAGTGTATATTTCCCAAAAATATATTTTTCAAAAATGTGCTTTTGGGAATAAATTATTTCCTTTTTGCTTCTCAAAAATTATTCATGCTTCTACTCAAAAATATTTCCATCCTTCTAAAAACTTAATCAAATATCTTAATTTTAAAATAAAAAATTGACTAAAAAGAAACTTGGCCAAACATATCACAAGGCGCTCCCGTTCAGGTGGTAGATTCAATTGTAAAACAAAAGCAAGCACCTCATACAATAATACTTGTATCCTTTCTTTCCTTTCGTGGTCCTCCTCCCATGCAGTAATTGTGTGGTTGACAGCGATTCTGAATCGCGTGTGCGTTAGACTCGAGTTCTGCCACGTCACAATTGACAAGTTTTAAACGTTGCGAACTGAACTGAGCTAGCAGTCATTGACAAACATAGCCTTCCAGTTCCTGCAAATCTTGAAAGAACAGAAGGAAGTTATAGGGGCATAATGGGTAAATTAAAAGATACCAAAGTGATGATCTGTCCAAAAGACCAAGTTCAGAAGTGACATTGTCAAAGTTGCGACGTGTCCTATTTGTAGGGGCGATACCTTGTAAAGAATTCTGAGATATTTTTGGGCAATTGATGTGGTCATGGCGTTGGCGTGGGAGTTTAGTGTTTATTGGTGAATGTCGTCTTGAGGTTGATGTTCACTCATTGTCTTGTGTGGCTATCAGCAAAAAACAGAGAGTGCAACAAACTAAAATTGAGATAGTGACAGCCTGACCAGTGCAGTGGGGTACTTTTCTGTAGCTAACAAATACAACAACTACCCGTAAAATAATGTAACAATATAAGAATCGGGGAAGATAGCATGTACGAAGACTTTACCCTATTTCGATAGGGTAAAAAGGTTATTTCTGATAGGTTTTTGGATTAAGAAGAAGAAAAAATATAATATATCAGTATCTTCAACAAAAACTATAGAAATAATAACAACGTTATAAGAATCAGAAAATAGATAGTGTAACCGTGTAGCTAACAAATAGTGGGAAACAAAAATAATTAAAATTGAGAAACAACAAGCTTGAGATATAAGTATTGAGTGGAGTATCTGCTATGTTATTCTTTTTTGTTTTTTGTTATATACCTACTATATTCAATTCATTGCATTCAAAAGTTACATAAGTTTTCATAACCTCATTTGTAACTTGGCCATTAGTTAATCACGGGATGGTTTTCCTAGATATACCAAAAATTGTTGCATTACCGCTTACAACTTAGTTTCAATTAAAAGAAAAGTTTCCCGGGTTAGTAGTCTCTCGAATTGGTCCCGTAAATTTCTTCTAGACATAGAATGTAAATTTCCGACACAGTTTACTGCCAAAAAGAGTACTATGAGATTTGACTAAAAGAAAGTCAAGTTATCTAGAGGCTCAGCCCTTAAAAATTACAAACAGCGGTAGGTAGTTGATTTAGGATCTTAAAAATCACAATGTCGACGGCTAATGAGCAGTTGAAAATAAAAGCGGGTGATTAGTGAGATGATGAAGAATGTAAAAATAGGGAAGGGTTGAGTCTTTGACAGTGTTGAATTAGGACAGAAGACATAGGGCAGGGCCGGCTCTAATAGTGTATGGGGTAAGGCAAGTGTCTTAGGCCCCCAATTTTGGGGCCCCATTTTTTAGGAATAATATATATTTTATAGGTTTATAGATTTTTTTATAAAAAAATAAAAAATATATATATATAAAAAAATAATATATATATATATATATATATAGTACTTTTGTACTTTTTATATAAAAAGAAAGAAAAACTTTTAGATATATTAATAAAGTAAAGCTTAAAATAATAGAAAAATAATTATCACTTTGATTTGATTTGACAACTCGACTATTTACTCTTTTTTCCAAGTAATCTCAACCCAACATTTCAATTTCATTTCATTCTTCATATTCGAGAAGACATATTTTCTTCATTCCTATTCATGCTCATCTTCTTAGTTCTTTTTATTAGATTTCTTTCTTTCTCCGAAACTCCAACAACTAGATATTTTGGAATTAAAGTTTTCAAACTTCTTGAATGTAATATCATTCTAACTTTCATTAGTGTTATTTTTATTTATTATTTATTATTTTATTAATTTTACTCTGTACATATTGTTTAATTTTAAAAAAATATATATAAATATGCCAACAAGAAACTATGTATCTGGTTATTTAAAACCATCTTGGCACCAATAGCTAAATTCTAGAAGAATAAATTTTAAATAAAAATATATATATATAACGTTCCTATAAATACTTAAACCCCTTATTAAACTTTTGCCTTAGGCCCCACGTGCGCTTGAGCCGGCCCAGACAGAGGGAGGGAGAGGACGAAGTAATAGAATGAAAAGTGAAAGGGACTTCAATTTATTTGGAGAAGTTCGAGGGTGACGAGGTTTTGTGGACAGGGATGGATAGAGGGTGGTGTGGTGTCCATTTTGAATATTGAATAATGGAGTACTCTCAGTTTAGTGTTCGCTATATTAAAAATATTTTATTTATTCATTTTAACAAATTAATTAAGATAAAGATAAGTTTTTTTTTTTTAATGTTACTCGTATCATTAACTACTCACTTCTTAAATTATTTATTTATTCTTAAAGGGTGCAAAATTAAGAGCTCGTTTGGCCATAAACTTTTTTTATTTTTTTCGAAAAAATTTCACTTTTTTCGAAATTGGTGTTTGGCCATAAAATTTTCAGTTTTCACTTGATAAATTTTGAAATTTTTCGAATAATTTTTTAAAATTTTCACTCAAATTACTTATAAAAATTTAAAAATAATCCAAAATTATATTCATATCCAAATACAGATCTAATTTTTAAATATCATTTTCACTTAGAAAAAAAAATTACTAAACGCCCACTAAAGTACACAACTAAAAATGAACTGAATAAGTATATTATAGCGATTGACTTCATAACGAAGGAATAGATCACCGCTCATCTTGCACCAACCACTTAACACAGCGACATCATCTCTCCTGCTGTATTATTGAGCACTTAGTAGGTATACGCGTGTTACGTGTGTCTTTTATGGCTTGTTGAGTTTGAGTCCACATGTTCACAAAATGCAGTACTGGTTAATACGAAGGTCCTATATGCACATAACACTTGGCTTTCCTTCCATCTCTCCTTGTCTTTCTTCTCCTCCTTTAATATTTACTGGCCCCTGCTCTTTTTTTTTTTTTGAAACCACACACACAAATCCTCCTTCACATATTCAAACGCCGCTGATTGTTCACTTTAAACATACACTTCACAACTCACTCTAAATTCTCTTCGTTCACGTAGCTTGCTTTGCTATCTCACCTTCCTCATTTCTTCTCCTTAATATCTTTGCTCCCCCCATATATACACACACTATCACTACTAAATACATACACATCTCAACCAACCTTTCAACTCCAAACTATTACGCTACGTCGATCATTCTCCGCCTCTTTTAAGCTCCAAACATTACCAATTTTGTATACAAATTAAAATGAAAGAAGTTTTGTCCTCTAAACTCTGTGAGCTTTGCAATGACCGAGCCGCTCTGTTTTGTACCTCTGATTCAGCTTTTCTCTGTTTCCATTGTGATGCCAAGGTTCATCAGGCTAACTTCCTTGTAGCTCGCCATCTTCGTCTTATTCTTTGCTCCCATTGCAACTCCCCAACAAAAAATCGTTTCTCCCCGTGTTCTCATAGTCTTAACTCCTCTGCTCTTTGTTCCTCCTGCTCCAGCAATTTCTCTGCTCATGACTCCGATCTCCATTCTCTTTCCTCCTCCTCCTCCTACTCCTCCTCCTCCTCCTCCTCGTCTACTTGTGTATCCAGCACGCATTCCTGCGCTACTACTCAAAAGAACATAAATTTCTCCGATCGAAAGTTGGTGGATTCCTCGAAATCCTCAAACGATTCTTCCGGCGAAGTGATCAATTCTGCTGTGGCGTGCCCTAAATATGAAGCGCGATCCAGAAATGTGAAATTGAGAGATCCGAGGGCGGCGAGTGGCGTGTTCATGCATTGGTGCACGAAGCTTGGAATGTGCGGTGAGGAAGGTGCAGTAGTACTGCAGACGGCGTGTGGTGCATTGGGGATTTGCTTGGGTCGATTTAGGGCTTTGCCTTTGCGGGTAGGCCTGGCGGCGTCTTTGTGGCTCGGTTTGAGAAGTAGTGCTGGCGACAGATCGAAATCCACGCGTCAACGTTTGAAGAGATTGGAGGAGATCTCGGGTGTGCCAGCAAAGCTAATATTAGCCTCCGAATTGAAGCTGCGACAAATCGTGAAAGCTAACAAGCAACGACAACGTCAAGGAATGGAGGAAAGCTGGGGTGAATCTTCGGCTTGATTCGATGGCGTTTGGACGAAAATTCTCCACCATTTATTTTGTCACTTCTTTTTTTTTTTTTTTGGGAAAACCATTGGAAATGTTTACAGAAGTATTTTACTAGTACTACTTTCTTTCTGGCATTTTGTCACGCTTTTAAACGAGGAAAGAACATTTCGGTCCCCCTCACAAGTCACTCCCCCAACAGACCCGGGGAAAAAAAAGGAACAAGAAAGAGAACATTTCCTATGAGTTAGCCCAAAGGTGAAAAAGGAAAAAAGATACTAACACGAGTATGTCCAACGAAGCATCACATATTTAAGCCAAGTGATTTGTTTTGGAATTAAACTAGAGCTAGCAAATGCGGCAAATGATCCCTATGCTTTGGAAACCCAAAACTACTTAACACCATTATAACAATAAGGTATAAAATGATTAAACTAACCCTTTAAATACCCTGCTGAATTTGCGCTTTCTTATCAAAATATGCTGGGAACTAGATTTACTACCTAAATCTTCAAATATGTAATGCAACATGTTTTTGGTGCAACTCTAATGTCACACTCCTGCATCTTATGAAAGAAGTTCGATGTATGCAATAGGGGTGGCATAAAATTCGAAAAATCGAATTCTGAACCGAATCGAACGGAATTAATTTTGTATTTTGGTTTTGGTTTTTTCAATATATTTCGGTACGAAAATTGCGGTATTTCGGTAGTTCGATACGGTATACGATATTTAGTTTTTGATATTTCGGTATACAGAAATATTTTAGTCCAAGCCCAAATTTATTTTGAATTTTCAGCCCAATAAGCCTAAGCCCACACCCCAAAACTCCTAATTCCCTAATCCCTTAGAGGCTTAGAGGCAGACTTACGGGCAGTATCTATCTGCTCTTACCCCCTTTCCCTTTCTATTTTCTAACCTAGACTTCTTGAAAAAAATTTATCTTTGCTTGGTTGTTGCAGATTCACGAGTCACGACTACAATAGCTTCACGACCTCGCCGACGGCGACTCCTCTCCTCGGCGACTGCTTGTTTGCTTATTGTTGACCTTCATTTAGGTTCATAACTTCTTCATTCTCTTGAGTTTTGTAACTGCGTTGGAATGAAAAGCATCTCTAGATGCAAGAACAATCAACTTTTTGAACTGGAAATTGTGGCTTTTCTTTTACAATCCTAAGCTTAATAAAAGACGGAGGATGACTGATGCTTGATGCAGTGGTTGGTTATATCATGGAATCTTTTGGATAAGGAAATTCCTATCTATAATGGAACATTGCTTGATTTTTGTTTTGATTGAAGGAACCGTGTTACTGGGCAGTGGGCACTTCATTTTAAGGGCAACAGTGGCTTTTTCTACTTACCTTTTGGTGACATGGTCTGAGGTTTAAGGTTCTTCGCCCTAACTATTCCACTAATGTATCAAACCGAAACCGTACTGAAACCGTACCGAACTACTTTGGTATGTTATTTGGTATACACAATTGATAAATCGAATACCAAAATATCGAACCGAAGTTTTTAAATACCGAACCGAATTACCGAATACCCACCGCTAGTATACAACAACATATGCATCTCAATATGAAGAAAATTGGATTGGTTATATGAAACGTGATGGTTCATGTCGCTCCATTTAAACTCTATAGTCCATTGGATTGGTTATATGTATGGGTCAAAATCTATCTTTAAAATATTTAAGCCAAGATAGTCCTGGGGGAAGAGTTTCCAGGTCGTCGTTTGTCGAAATGACCTAAGAAGCAGCGAAATCTGCAGTCGAAGAGTTAACAAGGCCGAAGTCGAGGAGTCAACGGGGGTCGAGGCCGAGGTCGAGTACTTTTGATAGAGTTATAACAGCTAGTTTCAAGATATGACATTACAGAAAATATTCTAGTGGATATTCTCTACACTTGTACTATTAGAATTTTTTAGGAACATGTTTCCTATAAATAGAAAAAGACACAATGATAGGAGACATGTGATATTCATTTGTAAAAAATACACTTTGACTCGAGAAAGAGAGTGAGATCTCATTGCTAGTATACAAACATCACTGTTTCACTAAGATTCTTGTCTACACTTTTCCACTAGATCCGAGAATAACTCAGATATTCAAAGGATAGTTCATCACTCATCATTATCAGAAAAAGCATTCACTGATTCCATCGTTTCTTGAGTGACTCATTCATTCTATTTACCTAAATGTCATTTATTATTATTTATTGATATTGAATGCTACATTATTTCCTTTGATTTTTGAATATTTATTGCATATTGCCACCGTTATTCAAAGACACCTACATAATATTTGTTATATTTTTTAGAACTTCATCTTAGGGATATTATTGTTAGCTAAGATTAACCCTCATTTATATAAAATTAATTAGTTGAACCAAGATCTATATTTTTTGGTCAGACAATTTGGTGTTGTCTATGGGGATTTCTTAGTTAAATTTTTAGTTTCTTCTAGATCTATAATTAACGCAAGTCACTAACGTGAAAAACCCCGAGATATCTTTCCTTTGTGTATACAAAGCTCTACATGACAGGTAACCAAGGAGAGAGGACAAAGATAACAAGTGACTTCCCAACCAACCTCATGAATGTCATCAACTAAAGTTATGAAATAGTAGGCGAGGACATGATGCCCAACACGTCCCCTAGGCGAGAGAGGTCGCCTCCCCCACACTGCAGCATGACAAAACCCAACGGAAAAGGGGCATCCACGTCTGCAAAAGAAGGGATGCCCGAGCTGTAAAAAAACTCCTCGAAGCATGGCTGACCGACACGCTAGCGAGTATCCTCAATAGGCCCGCTCCAAGCGTGACTACAGACACCGTAAGGGCTTGCACGATACAAAAAACAGACGAGCAGTGCAACCTACTCCTCCCTCCAATAGCAGGTATAACGATAGTGCAGGTGACAATGCCCTCGATGTAATTCTGAAGAGGATGGAAGAAATGGAGAATGAAAACAAGGCACTCAGAGACTAAATGAAAGAGCACCAAGAACGAGTTCACAAGATACCGGGCGCTCCTAAATTGTTGCCGAAAAGGGACGCTGGCAGGTTTGTAGAGCAGCCATACAATGATGATGCAGCCCCACATGCCATATTAAAGACCTTCAAAATGCCGCCCTACCTCAGGATATACGACAGAATGATCGACCTTCAAAATGCCGCCATGAAAGGCAACGACCTCGCCAAGGAACAAGTGTCCTCCATTTTGTTGAAGAAGTTTGGCAAAACCCTTACGGGAGCGGTATTAACATGGTATTCACAGCTACCAGCCCGCTCCATAGAAACATCAAATAAATGACCGATAAATTCGTAACCGCCCATGCCGGAGCCAAGAAGATCGAAGCAAGAGTAAATGACATATTTGCTATTAAGCAGTCCTTGGAAGAGTGATTGAGTGACTTTTTCTCCCGGTTCAACAGAGTTCGGATGACTCTGCCGAACGTATCTGAAGGGATAGCGATCGCAGCTTTCCAGAACGGGGCTGAGTAGAGATGGTTCAAGAGCAACTAGAAAAATGTTGAGCGGATCGATGAAGTATCCTCCAACCACTTGGGATAAAATCCACAATGCTTATTGTGCCGAGGTCCGAGTAGACGAGGACAACCTCAACGGACCAACTCTCCGGCTAACCTCGGTACAAGCCGAATCCAAAAAAGAACGAAGAGACAGTACCAGAAGAGATCATCCGATTCAGCAACATAACAGGGAATGACACCAACCATATGTCAGGGCGGCCATTGTACCCTCCCTCCGCTATGAAGAAGGCCCGTCCATGCCAAGGACGGGGACTCATAGGAACAAAAAAGGTATGCCTCCTTTATGATCTGCTCACAATTTTTGTGTGTCGCTTACAAATAGTGTACACTCTTGAGAAACTCGGAACAAAAGTGAAGTGGCCGCCGAAGATGAGATCAGACTCGAACACCAGAAAATCTGACGCCCTCTGTGAGCTCCACCAGGAACGTGGACACAAAATAGAAAATTGCATCGCCTAGAAGTCGTAAACATGTTATGGCAAAGACACCTCAAAGAGCTGTCAAGCGATAAGGGGAGGACCAACTTCGCTAGAGGATGTGAATATCAAGGCCCGCCAAAGCCGCCATAGCCATCTCGTACCATCAATATCATCATCGACAGCGGCGACGATGCCTCTATCAGTGACGTGAAGTTCACTACCACTCACAAGCTCAAGCGTTCTATCACCCACAAACGATACGATGGACTCCAAAAAAGTATCATCTTCGATGAGTCGGATGCCGACAATTTGACTATTCCTCATAATGATGTCCTCGTTATTACTTTATGCATTTTAGATATAGATGTCAAACACATCTAAGTGGATGATGGAAGCGGTGCATGCATCATCTATCCCCGAGTCCTTACCCAAATGAGACTCGAGGATAAGATAATGTCACGCTGCATCACGCTAACCAGTTTTAATAATGCAGTTGAGCGGACATATGGGGAAATTACACTCTTCATCGTGGCTAGCAGCATGACTATCCCTTCCATCCTATATCAAATAATTAAATTCCCAACTCCATGGGAAATATTCAGCATACGCAGGGAACAACGAACATCCTAGGAGTGCTACTGCATTGCTTTGGAAAACATGGTCACCCAATAGACGAAAGACAAAGAAAAAGTGGCATAGCAATCAACAAGGTTGAGGTCGAAGCAAGAAGAGACTAGGGACGTCATCATGGACCCCGACACGGTCGAGGCTGCAGGTTCGACCATAGAAGAGCTCAATCCTATCTAATTGAACCTCAACGACCATAGTAAGAAGACCTATATCGGCTGCAAACTCCGAGAACCTAGTAAATTCAGTAAATTCTTAATAGCTAATGAAGATATGTTTGCTTTCAGCCATGCAGATATGACGGGCATCCCAAAAGGAAATCACCACGCTCTAGTTAAATGTTGACCCATTCCACCCCCAGTAAGGCAAGTCAGGCGTAAATTGAACTCCGCCATCAATGATGCAGTCTGCGAGGAC